GATGGATGGATGGATGGATGGATGGTATTAATACCCAAGTTTTGGCTTTGGCATTAAGTGTGTCAGCAGAGGGAGAAGTGAAGTTCTCTAAAACGCCCTGATCTGTCCTCTGCTGACCACTTAAGGCAGCAGATGACATGGCTCCAAAAACCATTACAGACTGGAAACATCACTCTGGACCAAGAGCAAATAATATTTTCTGTCTTCCCACTCTTCTTTTAGACTCTGGGATTCTAATTTAATCTCAGCTGTTTTAAACTAAAATAAGTGCTTTTAAATAGCAGGCAAAGATTGTTCCATAATCCCCTGCTCCTCAGGTTGTAACCTTCTTATTTCTCAAATTCAAAAGTAGTTTGTTTTGTTACGCTTTGGGATCAACAATGTATTTTTGAATTGAATTGATACGTGTTGCTTGTTCCCCGATTTCGCCCACACTCTTCCTTCCACTCAACTTTTCATAAACTGTTCTCGGATACAGTAGGCTACTCTGAACAGACAGCTAATTTAGCAGTGATATCCTTGCGACAGCTTGATACATGTCGATGAACGCAGTCTTTGGTTGTGTTGGTGGAAGAAAAAAAAAAAAAAAACAGTCCTACCGTTACCAGGAGGCGACTGCTCCCCAGGCTCTTTGCGGCGTATGCTTCCGCCCTCTGCAGAGTGATGATGATGCTTCTTCTTGTTTTTGATAAGGATCTTTCCCAGCATTTCTTGCGGTGAGGGAAGCGGCTGACCTGGGACCAGCTAAAAGCCATAAAGATGGTAAGTGGTTATGTTTCCCAGCCAGGGCAGAAGGATACTGCAAGGCTGAGTATCTACACTAGATTAATAATTAGAAAAATAGACTGCTTAGCTTTTAAATAGCTTTTAAATAGATCAGGCAAGCCCAAAGTGTTGTAACTCTCTGAGCTAAAGTCATCAGTTTTGCTTGTTTGGAACATCCATGACTGTTTCTTCTAGATGTCACTGGAGTTAAAGCTGTATTTAATCAATTTTCTTGGAGAACAGGCCTAATCTTTTTGGCAATATTTTTGGTTTAGCTAGGAAAATAGTGACATGTCTGTGACGGTTTATTTCCCTAAGCAGATCCTTAACAACTAATGCATACCCTTTTTCACCTCAGCTGTGGTAAAACCTTTGTTTTGTATGAGTTGATGCATTTTAGGAACAAATCAGCCATAAGTTTAAACTATTGAGATGTTTCCCTCAGAGATTTAACTATAGAAAGTGAAAATATATTCATGCAGAAATGTGACTTAACCAAATATGGCGTATCTATAATATTTGTATATCCTTAATGTAAATGGATCCCTTTTCACTGTATCATCGCTTATTTTTTTGTTCCATAATCAAAATTTCCATTGCTCTATCTGAAGCCCATATTCAAAAGGAAAATTAAAAACAATTTGCTCTATTAAACAATTCAACTTGATTTAAGTCCTACTTGTAAAAATAGTGTATTAAAATGTACTCATTATTTTCAGTTGTATAATTTTGGATCCATTTCTGCCTTTAACAAAAAAAATTTTTTGCATTCATGTTTAACATTATTGATTTTCCAAAATGTTCCCACATTCCCTATTGATCTCTATAACTGCTATGTAAACAAATTTTAATTCATGAAGAATATTTATTAAATTCTCCTATTTAAATCCCTTTGCCAACTTAATTCTAGATGACAGAACAGGTGATGCTTTGTTTCAAGATCTGCTAAATTTATTGATCCAATTAAATCAGATGCTCTGGAAGATGAATAAAAAGCAGAGTCTTACCGGGTATTTCTCCAGCGGGTCAATGAGGAGGGCATCTCCAAAGATTGTCCTGCAGTACTCAGCCATCTTGGCCTGCTGTTTAGCTCTAGAATGAGAGAAAAGTTTAAGAGCAATAGTGATGACCAACATTGGCACCTGCAGTGTGTGAGCTGGACTCACGAGTCAACGTGGTTTTCAAAAGACAGGATGAGAGGGTAAGGGGAAGTCTTGAAAGCGCTCTCTGCTATCGCTTCAATCACCTCCTGCACAACCGGACAGAAAGAGGACTTTTAAAACAGATTTAAAAAATTACTTTTCTTTTCCTGCAGATCATGAAAACTATTGAAAAACAAATATAGAAATAAAATTATATACTGAAATGAGTAGATATTCTGCTAATTCTAACTGAGGAATGCTAATGAACATGAGAAATATTATTACAAAAATTGACTAACCACCTCACAGAATATGAAAAACCATTCAGAAGTTTTCTAAAACATCCTGCTGTAGAGCAGGGAATGGAATACAGCATACAACTTGGTATATTCAAAAAGAATAATAGAAAACCTTAAATACACAACACATACTATTGCTTATACCCAGGCATCACAGTGTCATTTCAACATGTCTGCATAAGAAGAATCAAGACGTCTCGACATTTGTGCACATTAAGACGTCTTAGAACAACTTAAGACAAAAATCTGAGGATATGCAGCCATGTCTTATGATATGGAAGTGCAGAACATTGGATGCTCTCAGACATGACTTTCAGTCTTAAAGACAGAAAGTCTTTAAGACTGTCTTCAGACCTAATATGACAATTTATTGTCTTAAGACCTTCAAATCTTAAGGCACTGTTCGTAGCTTGTCTTCCAAAACATGGTCAAGCTTGTTTCAACAGCTTTACACTTATAATTTTTCTTATCATGGATAAACTATCCCTGATATGCAGAGGAATCCTATGTAGTATTTCTATATCTATAGGTTGCATTTATACAATCAGATTTTTTTTTTTTTTTTTTTTTACATCCAAATATTTATGTTGGAGTTTCATAAATAAACGGTTTACAATTTGAACCTGTGTGATTTTGAACTTAGAAATCTTTTTATTTAAACTTGTCTTCTGGATAGCTAATACACCCACACTTTAACGTTGAGTGTTTCTGACACCTTTAGGACTACAGTAGTCTCTTTGCTTGAAGCTTTACATTTTAAGTACAATGCAAACAAATCATCTTTTAAACCACCTCCAAGATGAAAAGCAGAAAGTGCTAAATAAAAGAAATATGCATGACCAATGCTTTCTATAAAATAAGAGTTGTTTGAGGCTAAAATAGTCGATTTGGTTTCTGTTTAGCCACAAAATGTGGGAATCAAAACAGCAACCAGTGACAATAGTTTTCTCTATTCTAACATTCCATAAGGTTTTGCTGGAAACATTTAGCATATTTGCCAGCAATGATTGGCAAAAAAAAAAGTTAGGGATGCACGATATTGGGATTTTGGCCGATATCCGATATGCTGATATTTTAAAACTCATGTAGCCGATAACC